GAGCCACCATCTGTCTGTAAGTAGAGGCTTGTGTGTTGCTATGATGCTGAACATGTTTCAGATGAGCTTCTAGACTAAAGACAGGCTCGGAAGAAAGGCCTGGTGATCTGCTTTTGAAAATCAGCCAATGAAAGTCCCACAGATCCTTTGAACAGTGGCTCAAGTTGGGATTGGCTGGAGTTCAGAGTCACTCACAGACAGCCCTTAAGGGCAGTAAGGACTCCTGTATCCCAGGAGCTCCATGGTTTCCCATTGCCTTGCATCTCAATAATCTGCGATTTTGTTTCATCCTTCCAACTGGCTTTTGAGTTGAGGAGAGGAAGGTAGATCAGGTGGGGAACCCCTCCAAGCTCCTTCTGCAGTGCTTGGTGAAGTTTATTAACAGCACTCGTGCTGATCCTGACTGCTTGGGACCATAGTCTAGCTTGAGACTCTAGAGCCTCAAGAGAAGAATCCACAGAAAACAGGGATCACAGAGGCTGCAGAGCCCTTGAAATCAACCACCAATCAACCTCATATAGGGTAGGGCGTCAAGGAGCTGCTTCCACGCTTGATTCTAGAACTAACATCCAGGACAACCCTAGCCAGTCCCTTTTCCTCCCTGTATGTCCACGCCCTTCTCCATACAAGGGTGGAAGTTGGTGGTTTCATGGTCTCTTTATGCTTTAGTGTATGGGTATGGTTACCTGTCCCCTGCCCCGCCCCCTGCCCTGCCCCAGGTAGACTAGACCTATTAGGTAGACTAGGCTATTAGAGTTGATGTCTTTCAGGGTCTTGCTTTCTGCAGCATCGTCAGCACTCACTGTCAATCTCAGGCTTGGGGTCTGTCCACAGGCCAGAAGTGTGGTGCCAGGAGACAGCAGGGTCTGGCCCTGGTATTCTAAAGTGGCCTTATCTCCTGCAGCCAAGCACTGACGCATCCTCGGAATGGATTCCAATGAAGCTCATTTTCTGCCACCAAGTTTATAACACATCCCCACCTACTGGTCTTAAACATTAGCAAGGCTGTTTCTATGGCGCATGGTTCTATGGGGCCAGCAGCAGGGAGATGGGTGTGCGAGAAGGAAGCCAAGCATCCCTCTTGACTCTCAGCAGTGAGGGAACCTCTGACGCCTGGCACTGACTCTGTCCTCTCTCTGTGACCTTTCTCTCTCTCTCTCCAAAGGGAGCCAGCGCTTGGATGGTCAGGGAAGGAAGAGTGAACTGAAGGAAGAGTGAGGAGAAACTCAAGGTCTGTCAGGCTGGGGACCAGAGAGGTGAGGATACATGAGTATAAGGCCATGTTCAGAGCAACCTGGGCACTCACCCATATCCTGTGAGACTATGTTATAACATGTCACCAGAGACACATGGAACTTGTGTGTGTCACTCAAGCACCATTGCGAATCCACAGCCCATGCTCTCTGCCTCATCCCTTCCTTCTATCTGGAGTCTCTAGCTATTGCACTCCCCTCTATTTTGCTCCACACCCCCCAAAAAAATCCCTCTTCAATGGACCCTGGAAAGGGTTCCCCAGTAGTGGGAGTTGTCCTCCCACTTCATTTACTCCTTCTGAGCACCTACTATATATCAAGCACTGGAGAGAGAGACATAAATGAGTAAGGCATGGCTCTTGCCTTAAGTGCATGGATGCAGGGATGCAGAGAGACGTATACATGTAAACACGCGCCTGCATCCACACTGCAGCCTGCAATGAGTATCAGAGAGGCAGGATGAAGTGTCAAGAAAGAATGATCAAATACTTCTACTGATGGTGAGAAGTCAAGGGAAATCAAGGAAGACTCCACGGAGGCGGTAATATTGGAACTGGCTTTGTAGAAGGCTAAGTAAAAATTTCCTGGGGAGCTCTGGTGGCCTAGTGGCAAGAAGCTGCACTGCGATCCCAGAAGTACATGGTTCAAATCCACCAGATGCTCTGCCAGAGAAGGAGGGGCAATCTCCTCCTGTACCAGTCAGATCTGATTTGACGGTACACACACACACACACACACACACACACACACACACACACACACACACACACTTTCCAGAGGCACAATATTCCAAATGGAGGGCCTAGTGTATGCAAAGGAGGGAAATGAGATGAGTGAGGCCTCGTAAGAGGCATGGACAGTGGAGAGAAGGCAGCGGCATAGAGCTGAAGATGCAGACTGGGACAAGATCATAAAGAGCCTTGAATGCAGGGCAAAGAGTGTACTCTTGATCCTGTATGTAGTAGGGAGTCACTGAAGGTCCCTGAGAAGGAGGCTGATAGAATCAGCTCTCTAGTAGAATTAGCCACAACCCTGTCCCCCCCTTAGATTGCTATTCAGGTTAAAATAGAGGGGGAAACCCTCTTCAAAGGCCAGATTCCAGAATATGACTTTCATAAATCTTCCCTGAAGAAAGCCCCAAGGACAGAGTAGTTTGAGGGCTCCTAAGCCTCCCACCAGCCCTCCATTTATCCATTATGGTATCTTCCTAGAAGCCCTGGCAGAAAGGGAGAAAAGGAAGAAGTGAGGTGGGGCAAGGACTACTCTGTTTTGGGAGGATGGGGCACCCAGAGGCAGCCCAGAGTCACTCTGTCCAGTGGCACTTGAGTCAGGCAGAAACCCAGGCAACTGGGTTTCCAATCTGGCTGCGTGTCCAGACCCTTGCAGTCTTGGTCACTTGCCAGACACAGAACATTGCAACAGCCCAGAAATCCCAACCAAGGCTTAACCTGAAGTGTGACAAAAGTCCACGTGCCTCCTTTTTGCTTTTTGACAGAGTAGAGGTTTTGGTGGATGGGCATCCATAAGGGATGTCCAGAAGGAGGATGATGGGCCAGGAAGGTGGGTGCTTGGGAAGGTTCAGTTATTCTGGCTGCATCCAGCCGAGATGTGCTTGTGCTTTCAGCATCTGAAGGAAGTCTTTCCTGAGGAAGGCAAGACTGAGGCCCACGATGGGATGAAGAAGACACTTCACAACTTAGAGAAGGAACTTGGAAAGGAGAGGATGTATCCACTCAGCAAGGGACCCCTGCCCCACTCTTGCAAATAGCTTCTTTCAGGTCCTGCTGGGCTGGAAGGCGGGACGCAGTGTTGAGCACTGGCTGCCTCAACAGCCTGAGGACCCACAGGGCACAGAGAAAGCACTGATACCCAGCTGGAAAATGAGACAGACTGCTAACACGCAGAGAGACACAGCCGGGACACTGGGCCAAGCTGAATTGGGCTCTGGGTGGCAGGGGAGGCTCTGACAGATGAGGAAGGGGAAGGCTCTTTAATAGCAAGACAAGGAGTCAAGGAAGGTAGGCAGTGCTTAATGATGGCGATTGAGGCCCTTCCTGGGAGGCTCTGCCTGGGCTGGGTTTTAGGAAGGGAACTCTGGCAGCCAGATTCAGAGGGACAGAGCAGCCTAGATTCAGGTTTGAGAGTCAGAGCATGGGCTGCTTCCTCCTGATCAGGCCACCACACCCCTACTCTTACAGCTGGTCACTACACAGTCCCCGTGGCTTTAGCACAGACATGCCTGCGACCTTCCCCACCCCTTTCCAGTCTCTGCCCTGCACACTGAGCCAGGGGAGTCCTGCTACCCAGCCCCACTCCTACTCCCCGCTGGCACGCTGCCCTGCCCAGTCCTCAGATAAAGGACTGAGGCTGGCCTTGGAGAGCTACAACAGCACTCCAGCCTCGCCCCCAGCTGGGAAGAGCTAGTCCACTCCCACAAGAAGGTCAGTCGACTTTCCTTCTCCTCCATGGCCCAGGACTCGCAAATTTCCCAGGCTCATAATGTCTTCTCTTATTCATTCAACCTTGAGAACTGCCTCGGACAGAACGCGAGAGGCTGCTGCTTAGGGACCTTGCCCAGGCTCATGGCAGGCTTGGGCAGATGTGGGCAGCAGCTTAACAGCTCCTACTGACCCCTCTCTTGAAGAGACCTGAGGAAGCCTGGGGAGCCCACGCAGTGCTGTCCGATGTGCAACCCTTGGCACAGAACATCTAAGCCCCCCTTCCCCTCGTTGGCTGGAGAAACGTGCCCCCGGCTTGGTGGTCTTAGGGGCCAAAGGGCCGGCTTGGTGGTCTTAGGGGCCAAAGGGCCGTTTCCCCTAGTCTACCCTAGCTCGCGTTCTCCCCACTTGGTCGGCGCCCCTCGTCTCGCTGGAGCGCCTCCAGCTTGCGGAAGGCCAGCTGCAGCCTCCTCCCGTCGGTCCACGTTCCCAAACTGGGACGCAGCTTAGCGACCCTGTCTTCCACCCGTGCACACACAGTCCCACTGCCAGAGAGTGCCAACCCCGCCCCTGCCTCCCTCAGCCGTGTAGCTGCGGAGCCCCGGGTGAGCCTGGGGAGCAGACGCAACAGATTGCAGAGCGCCGAGCCCGTTCTCCCTGCGCGCAGCCAGGGCCTGCGCCCGCCGCCCCATCTCCGCCCCCGGCTCGCCTCGCCTAAGCCGGCCATTGAGATGCAGCTCACAGGACAGCAAGCGGGCGAGACCAGGCTGCTCCCCGGGCCCCAGTCACTGCACTTCCCTCCGTGAGGACAGCCGCAGGAAGCAGGCAGCGGGCGACCGTCCCCGCACCCGCCTGCGCGCCCGGGGCTAGGGAGGACGTGTTCCCCAAGGAGCCCAACAACCTCCAACCCCGCCAGCTGCGATGAGGCAAGGGGTGGGGACCTGGGGCAAAGCGACTCGGGGCGATCTCGCGGACCGATCTAGATCTGGGTGGGAGGACACGCCCCCGACTCTCAGATTTAGACCCCTCTTTCAAGCCCAGAGAAGACTGGAGCCCCGAGCCCTTTCTCTAGCCCAGTGCCTAGGCCGGCTCGGTCCCCGGGGTGGGGCTCGCAGCCTTCGCTCCCGAGAAAGGGGTTGAGAGCTGGAGAAAACTCGAGCTGCAGACTGTGTCTCCAAACGGGAAGAGGCGGCTGCAAGCCCGGGGTAGGGGCTTCCCCGTTCTCGGTTCGCCACCCCCCCCCCCCCGCATGCCTCCTTCAGCGTCCCCCGCATCAGCTTCACCCCGGAGTGCGCGCCGCGACACTTACCGTAGGCGAGCAGCGCCGAGAAGCAAAGCAGGGCGGCGCCGCGGCGGCCCGACATCCCTGGAGCCATGGCCGAGGCGAGGGTGGGAGAGGGCCGAGGGGGCAACAGTCGACAACGACTTGGCCCCAAGCTGGGCTTGGTCACATCCAACTCAGGGTGCCCCTGGGTCCCAGCTGTCTCTGCTGAGGCTTCGGGTGGGGGGTCAGATAGGGCAATTCGGGGACACTTTGCAGGGAGGGGGCGTCCCAGGCACTGCCGACTATACTCTTTGGTGGGGGCGCAGCTCGGGGAGGGAGGAGCTCCACCTCCCCCGGCTGGTGCCCCCTGCAGGATCTGTGCGGTGAGGGGGGAGCTGCACGTGCAGTCCTAGGCTCGGTGGCCTTGGCTGTCCCGGGGGCTGCCTAGCGCCCAGTGCTGGATCCTCTGGCCCCACAGCCCAACTCAAATCCGAACTCGTTCGAGGGTGCAGCTTTCCAACGCCTAGGCCCAGTCTCGTCGGTTTCGGTAGTAACCCCACTTGGAGAGTGCGGCTTCTTTCCTCCAAGCTCCCTGCAGCAGCCCCAGAATTTTAAATAAATAAATAAATAAATAAATCCCAGGTCTGGTGCAAATGATTTCTTTTGCAAAGGAAGTGAATTTAGGCAACTTTAATCCATCTGGAGAAGGAAAAGTTTCCGTGCGGTGCTAAGACTGACGACGCGGGTTGCCACCACCCCGGGGCGCCGCCCCGACGGATGTCCGAGGCGGGCGGCCAGCTGCTGTCCGCGCTCCCAGTTCGCTCCCTGGCTCCAGCGCGCTCTCTCCTGTCTAGTCTTGGGCCTGGGCTCGACAACAGGCAGCTCAGCGCCGCCTTACCCGACAGCGGCTCCGAGATTGGGATGAGCGTTGGGCGGCCAGAACCGATTATCCCATGGAGACGCGGCTTCGAGAGAAGAGGAAGCGGGAAAGCCAGGTAAAGCTCCCAGATCCGAGACCTTCCTGTCCAGGGCGCCGAATCCGGTCGCCCGGGCGTGAGCGTTGCAGGATGGCGAGGGGCTCGGCCAGCCCGCGACAGCTTCGGGCGGTTCCTCTCTCCTGCCAGGTTTCGTAGTTACCGCTGAAGGGATCGCTGCCCCAGGGGAACCTGCACAAACCTTGAACTTTTCCTGGGTTCAGAGTCTCCAACGCCTCTTTCTTCCCAACAGCGAGGCTACTGCCCTCGTCCTGGCCCCAGACGCTCGTGCGCCCACCGTCTCGATGCAGCCGGGCATCGGTTCTCGCTCTCTTGGAGTCAGTTTGGGCGAGCGGAGCGCCGCGCCAGCCCGGGCTGCGGGCGGCAAGACGCGGGCGCCGCGCCAAGAGCCGGGGCACCCGGCACCCGCGCAGCCCGCGGCCGGGGAGGCGGCGGCTGGTTCCTACCGGCCCGAGCGGAGAGGAGGGGTTGGTAGGGAGGCCGGCTCCCCATGGACGTGTGTAGGGGGAGAAGAAGAATCGAAGAGCAAAGAGGAAGAGAAGGTGGGGGAAGCCACAGTTGCGCGAAGCAGCAGCCGCCGCCGCCTCCTCGGGCGCTCGCGCCGGCTGCTCCGCCGTAAATGACTCGAGAGAGACACACACACACTCGCGCTCTCCCGCCCTCCTCCCCCGGCCGGGTTTCAGCGCCCACCCCGGCAGTAGCGGGCGCCGAGCCGGGCGCGCTCGCTCCCTCCCCTCCCCTCCCAGGTTCCCCGTGGTCACGTGGCTCGGAGCGCGCGGCCCACGGCTCGCGCGCCACGGAGACCCCCCGCCTCCACCCTCGTCCACGTGTCCATTCCGCATTCCCAGCCTGGGGGCGCGCGTGGCTCCTAAATGAGACTCGGGCAAGGGCCGACCTCGCGATTCCGCTCGCCCCAGGTTTCTGGTTTTTTCCCTTCCCAAAAGCAGGCTAGCGCTGGGGCCCGTATGCGGACGGCTGCTTTGGTAGCTGCGTTTCTCCAGGGTAGACGCCACTGCAGCTGCCGGATGTCCCTTCGCAAAGGATGCAAATGCCCCGCAGGGCACTGGAGGTGTTTTGCAGCCGTTCTGCCAGAAACAGGGGAAGGGAGCGCCCTACCCACTCCCAGAATCTGCGTGGGGCTCTCCGGTGGCATCCGGTGGGAATCCAGCGAGATGCTGCGGTGGAGCTGGTGGACACAGATAGGCGCTGAGATGGGTGGATAATGCACTAGGGGGAGACCCCGTCCAGTGATGGGGACGCGCCGGTAGCGGGCGGCTTGCTTTTCCACAGGTTGTTTTGCTAGCCATTGCCATAGGGCATAGGGTAGGGCTGGGGTGAAATGCCCCTCTCGCCCACTCTCCCCCAGCACCTGCCGATGAAGGGGAAGGGGCGGCAGGGTGGCGTCCTTTCCCACCTCGACCCATTCCATTAGAGCGCAACCCAAATCAGACCCAATGAGTCAACTGTCAGCAATCAACCAGGCATTGGGTCAAGGGCAAAGATTTTAAATCATCATTGGGTGTTACGCCCCAGCCCTCTCTAATTGGGAGGGACTGGGTCGTCAAGATCCTATGAACTTGGCCTAAGGATCTTGAGGCACGACAGGACCAGGTCAACTGGGGTGCTCAACACTAAGCCTCGTCCCCCTCCCCAGCATCTGCCTTACTGGGTCCTAGCCCTCTTGACCCTGTGAGTTTCCTTCTCATCCCGGAAAGTGACATTTCCTTTTTGGAAAATGAGCTTGGGCCATTCCTGGAAGCCTCCCTCCTCCCGGGCTGCTGGTGGTTGCTGCCTCAGCTTGGCGCTGGGGCCTGCGGAGAGCGCCGCTCGCCCCACCCCCACCCTCACATCTGTCTGGAAGGCGGAGGTACTGCGTGGGGAGGGCTGGCCGAGCTTGCTCTGGCCCTGGGGATGGAAGGTGCTGGAGTCGTCAAGGAAGATGATTCTCATTAAGCCCCTAATGCCTGATGGCAATTAACGTCACCCAAGGGCTTATTAACCAGCCTACAGAGAGGCAAGCCAGGAATCAGGCTGTGTGTGCAGGAAAGGGAAAGGAACCACCTCCTGAGGCCAGGGAGGCCCTGCCACCCCTGCGCATTGGCCAATTGGCAAGTTCTCAGGGCCTGGAAAGAGACTAGAGGTGGGAGGAAAGGTTACCTTTCTGAACCTAGGACTTGCTGGCCCACAGTGACAGGTTCAAAACCTCTCTCCTCCATAGATGTTTGCACTGACCACGGATGAGAAGGGCAACAATTCTGACTCTCTCTCTGCCTTCTCTGGAAACTGAACCTAGTGTTCTGGGCAAGGCACCCAGGGACTACCATGCCCAGATCTTCTCTCTGCATCCCCCCAGCTCTCAGATGATTCACAGTAGGAAAATGAGTTCCCCTTTGCTGATTCAGGGAGTTCTAGTAGCCCAGTCCATAGGGAGTTGTACTACTATTAACCCAAAGGTGGCGCCTCTCTGCTTAACCAAAGGTGGCAATTCTAATCTACCAGCCACTCTGCCTGAGAAAGATGATAAATCTCTTCTGGTACAAGTTATAGCTTTGGTAATCCTCCTGGGGTGGGGTGTCAGCTATGCTTTGGTAATGATTCCACCAATGCATCTGAGTTTGTTTTGTTTTGATTTTTTCCCCCAGTTCAGTTTCTTTTTCTTCGTTCTATCTTTCCTTCTCTCCACCATCCCCCCTTCAACATTATGGTGACCATCTCTGACATCACAGGCTCTATTACAGGCACATCAGTGAGCAAGACACACCCAGATGTTGTCCTCATGGAGTTTACAGCCTATAGAAGGCAGAAACTAAGCTTATCGTTCATGACAGTTGTGATGTTACATGACTTAATGCACTTTTGCTGATCTTACAGAGAAAGATCCTATGATCCAGGCCATGGTCTTCTTGCTATGCACCAGAGAGCTGGCCAATGACTAAGGATGTCAGAAGAAGAATCAATGCTTTGAGTTGTGGTGCTGGAGAAGAGTCTTAAACATACTATGGATCACCAATAAAACAAACAGATCTATCTTGGAGAGGATAAAACCAATTTTTCCCTTGGAGGTTAGGATTCTGAAGCTTGATCTCACATGTTTTGGGCATATAGCCAGGAGGGACTGGTCTTTGGAGAAGGACGTCATGCTTGGAAGGGTGGAAGGTCATGCTTGGAAGGCTAGAAGGGCAGCGCAGGAGAGGAAGATCCTGGGTGAGATGGATTGGTACAGTAACTAGGGCATGGGGCTAAGTGTGTTGGAGTCAGTGAAACTGGTTCAGGAGAGGGCAGAGTTCAGAGCTGCTGTACGTAGGGTTGCTATGAGTCACAGGTGACTAGACGGCACATAACAACAACAATACAGAAAATTAAGGCCTCATTAGGAAAAAGAAGAAAGCAACAAGCTATACCTCTGGTGGTTCAAAATCACCTGTTGCTCTGCTGGAGAAACACGGGCAATCTCCTCTCATTAAAATTTACAGCCTTGGAAAGCCAATGGTGGGTCACTATTAATCAGAATCGACTAGATGACAGTGAGCTTAAATTTAGAGTTTGTTACATTTAGAGAATGCAGTTCCAGCTCTAGGCTGAATCTATTCTTCACAGACCTCAAATCTTCTGCTGAAAATTCTCTAGTCTTACAAATGCCAGCTTTCCTTCCCTGCCCGAGAGAAGAAAAGGGCAGCTGATGTCATCTGCTCAATGGTTCCAATTCCTGATTCTGAGAACAATTGGCACAAGGGAGACCCAGTCAAGATCCCTGATAGAGTTTGGCTCCTAAGTGTAAAGTTGTCACTTCAAACCCACGCAGAGGCACCGTGGCAGAAATGTCTGGTAATCTGTTTCCGTAAAAATGCAGCTGACTCTCCCTGTTCAAAACAAGGAAGAGTGAAGAAAATCTGACTAAGTACATTTCAACTTCAGCCTCCACAACCGTGACTCTCCCAAGACCAAAAGAACTCCATGGTGCTCAGTTAACCACCCCTGACGGCTCTGAATGAGATCAGAATAGAAGATCCCTGATAGAGTGGGAAGAAGATGAGAAATATGTCTCTGGCCCATAGCCACCTTTCAAGCCTGGAACCAAAATCACTCTTGTGACTCAGTGGCCAGCCAACCCCAAACTATACTGGTATTGTTGAATGGTATTAAGTTGGTTCTGACTCACAAAGGCCATGGCACGACAGAATGAAACCAGGCTCGTGGTGCTGGGCCACCCCCACAGGCTTGACCGTGTTGAGTCACATTGCCAATCTTTCTCATTGAGAGCCTTCCTCTTTCATTGACCCTCTATTTTTTCAAGCATGATGTCCTAGTCCAAGTAACTGTTACCATCCTTACTTCATGGCTGCACTTTTTATTTGTTCTTTTGGCAGCTTCAATTCAATATTCTTCCCCAGTACCACAAATTAAAGACACCAGTTCTTCTTTGGTCTTCCTTATCCATTGTCCTA